AATGGTCGATTTTAATTCCCATATGGCCGCCAATAATCTTAAAATAAAGGCATTTATTTAGGTTGAGGTCGACAGACAGTCTTTGACAGAAAGCCGCCTGCTGAATGCGTGAGGGATTCATCCCACAGTCAACAGCGCCCACTAGCGGCCAACTGAACAACCAACTGAATGTGTGAGTAGCCTACATTTGACTCTTCTTAAATTTGTGTATGAACTCAATAACAGGTTCATTACAACAATTTAGCACCATGTTTGTATTTTACACTGACAAAATATTAAATCATTAATTGAATTGAATTTAATTCAGGGTATATAGCCTACATTACTCTTATATAGCCTAAAGTTAATGTAGTTCAGTTTTACTTGTTAAATGCACTGTTATGTACTGTTATCACAAACGCACAAATTTAACTATAAAATAATTTAAATAAAAAAGAATAAACTATTATAAGTATAAACAGTCATAAAATAAGTAATACAAATATGTAATAGGCCTATGTTTTATTTATTATATTATTACATTACATTATATACAGACTGTTTATGTTGATCTACTACTAAGTTCTGGAGAAATAAACAACTTAATGAAGTGTATTTTCGCCATGTCCAGCCTTAAGGAAGCAGCCTAAAACTAAATTAGGGCGCAAGTGTGAAGAAAAGCCGGTGTGAAAAGCATTCACACGTTCCTGTGAAGGCTGTAATTGAATCGTCGTATATTTACTGTTATCGCTGTGCAGTGTTGCTCTGCTGGTTTAAGAGACCATCAAACGCGCAGATTACACATCGAAGCAAAAATGAACACACTACACATGCTGAATACACAGACCGAATGATTGCTGTGCATTAATGGAGCTGTTTATTAACGTGTTACATCAAAGGCCAATTGCCTGATTATGACGCCTATCTGTCTATCTAATAGGCTAGATTACACTTTTGTTATTGCGCTACGTAAACTCATATTTTGTCAATACAAGCCCTAAATTGCAAGTGCAAAATTAAAGAGGCAATCTTAGAATTGTTTTTCAAGCACTATACTTAGCCTACAAAGAGCTCCAAAGGTTATAAATGATTTACTTTATGCAATAGTCTGTTTCTGAAAATGCTCCCACACTACCAAACAAAAGCAAACAAAAGGACGAGCTAACACAATTCAAGAAGTCACCCCAACGGGAAAACAAGGAAACGGCGATTTCCTGAACTATCTTAAAAATAACCAATGCAGATGAGATGTTAAGATATCAACGTGTCCTGGTAAAGACGTAAACGTGCGCTTTTTT